GAACCTGCAGGGTGGCCAGCAGGCGGATCAGGGCTGGCAGCCTGGACTCCTGTAGAAATGCTGTGGATTTTTCTCCTCCTCTGTGGCTACTTGCCAGGCCTTCCAGTCCTGACCACCATCATTTCTTGGCTGGTTGACTGCAATGGCTGCCTTCTAGAAGGTCACATGGCCCTTGTGTCCCCCTCACACCATTCCTTGGGTGCTCTCGGTCCTTGCCCTGGCTCAGGGGTATTCATGACTTGTGCCTGGTTCTAGTCTCTCCAGCTTCCTGGGGCTTTCCCAGCCCTTCCCTCTGGTCTAGTCTTGGGTCTAGCAGCCTGCATGGAACACTTAAAAATGCAGGTTTCCAGGCTCTGCTCCCTTGCTCTGAATCAAATTTGCATTTTAACAGCTGTGCAGGTGACTTACTTTCACCCTGTCCTTCATCCTGATTCTGGAAGCAGGAATCTTAAACCTCCTTCAGGTTTGTCAGCTTCAGAACAGCCCTGTAGACCCTCTATAAAACATTCCACCACCCTATTCCCTCCTTCCTACCCCCCTTCATTTTTATAAGATGCGGTATGGTCTGGAACTCTGCTACCTGTTTGCTGACCTGTAAGGTTACAGCTCTTTTGTGAATCCCACCTCTGTGAGGATGGGGAGACCCATTCTGTCCTGTGCCCATACATCATGTGTCTGATGATGCTCAGCACCCGTGTGAAGTCCAGAGAAGTGGTTGTTGGAAGAATTGTGCATGCTGTGCCAATCCTCAGAGCTTGAGTTCTGCTATTTAGGGAAGTGAAGTGAGGTGCAGAGAGGGCCTCCGCTGTGCTCAGCTGGATGTAAATAGGGCTTTGACCTTCACTTTAACGAAGGGTGGAGGTCAGAGAAAGTTCATTACCTTGGGCAAGCTATTTTTTTTAAAAGATTTTTATTTATTTATTATATATACGGTGTTTTGTCTGCATGTATTCCTGCAGGCCAGAAGAAGGCACCAGATCTTATTATAGATGGTTGTGAGCCACCATGTGGTTTCTGGGAATTGAATGCAGGACCTGTGGAAGAGCAGCCAGTGCTCTTAACCTCTGAGCCATCTCTCCAGCCCCCTTGGGCAAGCTATTTGACCTCTGAAAGTCTTACCTCTGTTTCCTATATTCCGCTCCTAGGCTCAGCATCAGGAGTAAAAATGCCTCATAGGATTACCATAGGGATAAAGTGAATGAATGCACATAAAGTTGCTTGGATCAGTTTAAATTTAGTTAATTAGGCTGGCACTGTAGCTTGTGCTTAGCAGTAACATGCTCACCTGGCATCTGAGATCCTAGGTTCAATCTAGGTACTGCCTTTCCCAATTCCTCATCGTTTCAGAGGGTCAGAGGCCTGGGGAGGGCTTAGCTGGTCCTTCTAGCCAGGGTCATGTGAGGTTAACCAGAGTGTTGGTTGGAGTTCTAGTCACTACTCAAGGCTTGATGGTGTTCTTCCAGGCTCACTCACGAAGCTGCCAGGTGGCCTCTTTTCTGCTCTGTGGCTTCTCACATGCTGGCTGGGAATAAGAGATGGGAATCTTTTAGAGAAAGATACTGTTGTAGTCTTCTTGTAATTGATCCCAGAAGTGACACGTGACACTTCTGCCACTAGAGTGAGTGAAGAAGTCCAGTTGACCCCAGGAAGCAAATATTACAGTTGTTAACAGGGTGAGACATTTGTGAATCACTTGAATTATCACTTGACAGTCAGTGAGCGACAAGTGAAAATGGGGGAGAGCTGTTGTCACTGTCATTGCTAAGTGTCTGAGAGCAGGAGCTGAGGTTGCTGTCACCGCTAAGCTAAGGGTCTGAGAACTGGTAAGAGCAGGAGCTAAGGTCACTGTCACCATTTGAGAGCTGGTCAGAACAGGAGCTGAGATTCGAACCCCAGGATGGCTGGCATTAATGCACTTCAGTGCCACTGGTAGTCAAGTGTCAGGTATTAATATATTATAATCGTAATATGGATTATGTAGTGAGGAGAATATACATTCTAAATGACTTCTCTGACTACAAGGTAAGGCCTTCCTTATGACGGACATGATAGCTCAGGGAATTGCTGGTGGTGTCCAATGTCGGTGTGTGCCCTCACACATCTACACACACACAAGTAAACAATTAAATGTTATAAAAATTTAAAATTATTCAGTTTTTAAATTTTTTTGCTAATTAGTTGTCCAAACTATGAGTATTGTTTTCCTGGGCTAGTGATATGTGAAGTTTAAAAGAAAAAAGAAAAAGCAGAAAAGGCACCTTTTAAATGAGCCAGATTTCTGTGACTGTCACAAAAAGCCGAGACAGTCAGCAAAGAAGAGAAAAGTGTTTGGTCTCACAGTTCTGTTAGGCTTTAAGTCCGTGGTTTTTTGGCTGCTTTTGAATCTGTAGTGAGGAATCATTCCCTGGTGGGGCAAAGTCGATCACTGTAGGGCCAGGAGAAGAGGAAGAGGACAGATGGGGCTGCCAGATCCCACTGCCTCCTTCAAGGGCACTCAGCTAGTGATGAAGACCTGCTAGGTCAATGGGTCTCTACTGTGGATCTCTACCTCTTGGGGGTTGAATGAACTTTTTACAGGGGTTGCATTTCATATATTTACATTATAATTTATAACTGTAGTAAGATTACAGTCATGAAGTAGTGCTTAAATAATTTTGGGGTTGGGGACACCACACATGAGGAACTATATTAAAGGATCCCAACGTTAGGACAGTTGAGAACCACTGCCCTAGATGCTAATTTCCACTACCTCTCAATAGAGCCAGGCCTGTGGAGGACATCAGTGGCAAGAACTCCTTTGATTGCCACCTTCCCTGAGTCCCTAATACTTACCTGGCTTCTTTAACTGGCACAACCTATCTACTGCTGTGGTCACTGAAGTCTCTGTCTCTCTTCAGAGTCACACTATGAGCTGTGTGTGTGGTTCCAATACTCAGGAGGCAAAGGCTCAGGGCTCACCTCATGTTCAAGGCTAGTTAGAATAATGAAGATGCTCTCATCATACACTGTGTTCCTAGTGGGTATCTGGGTGTGATGGCATTTGCCCTGTGGCTATGTAAGGTGTACCCACTGGGAAAAGTTGGGCCAAGGCTGTGCAGGGCCTCTTGCTGTCTTCTAACTTTCTGCAAATCTTTAGCTATTTCAAAATAAAAATTTAAAACAATAACTCAGTTTGGTTGTTCCTAGGGATCAGTGGCCAGCACCCCCCTGGCCAGCACACCAGGCCTTTATCCTTTCCAAAAAAAGTAAGAACACATTCTCGCTTGAGATTTTTCAGGCCCCAGAGGTGTGAAAGTGTTAATTTCCCACCAGGGCAAAGCCGGCTGGATTAAACTGGCAGCTGCCGAAGATATCCATCCAGTGAGCTGATATGTTCACCATGGCAATTCCTAAGCACCTGGTGCTTCCTGGATTTGACCCTTATATTCTCTGTCCCCAAAGGGAAGTGCTGTCTTTATAGACTGCATTGTGGTGTGGGGCACTGGAAACACACAGCTAAGTATGTGTGTAGCATTACACCAAGGAACCTCTTTCTGTCAATAGTCTGAGTTAGTGCTTGCTGTGGTGCAGTTGAAGAAAACAGCTTGGTTGCAGAAAGTGTACACTGTGGTCCTGCACCATACGCTGGACTCTGTAGGAGTGTGCGTGGTTTGTAGTGGTTAGCTGTGCATGCTGTAGGGCATGGCAGTGCACACCAGGTTTGCCGTTTTCCCTGAAGCGGGGAGAGCTGGAGAAAACGAATAGGAACATGATTTCCTTCTAGCCAAAAATGTTAAGGGAACATGTGTTTTTCTTCCATAAAGCATTCTCGTTTGCACATGCCCTGAGTGTGACAGGAGAGAGGAGAGTGTTGATGGGCTTTCTTTCAAGGTGCTGTGTTTTCATCTAAGTGCCCTTCTTAAATGTGTTCTAACTGCTGGGATATTCTGCAGTGAGTCTTTATTTGTATAGTCATAGAAGAAATCCGGTTTGAGCCCTTTTTATTGTGAAGACAGAACATTTGAGTGTGTTTAACAATACACTGGAGACCTGGGGTGGGAAGTGAAAGGGAGAAATAGAATGTGGGCAAGGACCCTCTTGTGGTGTAGCTGGTGAGAGACTAAACCTTGGTCTCTAGAAGGACACAGGAAAGTCTGTCTTGAGACAGAGAGACCTGGGGGTTACTGGAGACCTTGGCCATGTGATCTTGTTCAGAGACATTATCTGTCAAAATTCCTCTCTTACCGAACTGGGAGACTGCGACAGATCCAGGTCCATTGTGATTTTTCCACAAATGTTGGGTGGAAGAAAGTGCTTGTATGTGGTTCAGTGAGCTTATATGGGTGCAAACTATGTGATCTATGTGATAGATATAATGGATGAATGCATGCATGTGTGATTTGGTGAGCTGACATGTCCAAGGGCTAAGCTATATATGGTTGATGGTAATGAAATGTCAGGTTCTTTTTCTGGAGCTTTGTCATATGACCAGCCAGTGTACCTGGGGAATGGATTTGGGAAGTAGGGTGTGGTTATAGCCCAGTGTGTATCTACATTGTAAGACAATGGGGTTGGGGATGGATTTGGTCATGGTTTTCCCCCTGGTGTCCCAAAGTAGGAGTTGTGCTAGTTCCTGGGATCATATATGAACACTTAGCATTACACAAGTCATGCAACACACAGTAGTTGGTGCAGGTGAATTGTGTGTAGTGTGTGCCTGCCATTGGAGAAAACACTATCAAGGGCCTAACCCAGGATGGCACCTGGTAGTTTGGTGGGTTCACATAGCATATGCTTGCATTCCAAGTCTGTAGGCACAGGGACCAGTTGGCATTCACCAACATTCCCAAAAGAAAGCCCCAGAAGTATGCCCCGTCATTTTCAGTGCTGTGATACAGGACCGCACATTAGCATTGACAAGACACAGCTGTGTCTTTTCCTCACACAGATCCCTCCCCTGCTTAGGGTGGAAGGTGTCAGTTTTTAAATTTGTTTTTTTTTAAACATTCTTATACCTGCAGAGAAAACGAGGTGCTCAAAGTCCAGCTGAAGAAATATGTAGGAGCTGTCCAGATGCTGAAAAGAGAAGGTCAAACAGCAGAAGGTGAGGTGGAGCATGGGGGAGGGACTGACTGTTGGATGGGCAGGCTCCAGGAGTGGATGAACACATACTCCACTGAGTAGAAAAACGGTGCTGGTGGGCTTCCAGAAAACAGAGTGAAACAGAAAACCCTGCTGTGGATTTTTGCTAAATGAAAACTAGGGCTCACTAGACTTAGCAACAGTTGTATGATTTGGACACTTTTATGGACTTTAGGTGGATTATTGCGAGCCTTATGGAATGGCTGATTCTCATGAGACCAGGGATGTAAGCAGCAGAGAGTAGGCAGGGTGAAGAACCAGACCTCCCGGGACTTAGAGTTGCCGGGCTGCAATCCGACCCCTCTTGTAGTTTTTTAACGTCCCTATCAGTTTTCTCATCTGTAAAATGGGGTAGTTGGCAGTACTTGCTTTGCGAGGCACGAGGTATAGTAGCGTAAGGATTGGCACAGGACAGGTACTGGGTAATGCAAATGGTACAGCTCGGATGGAAATGCATCCTGGCAGTCGGGAGCCAAGGAATACCACAAAGTCACAACGCACAACAAACATCACACATGAGATTTATTGGGAGGGAAAAACCAGGAGGGTGGCTGCCTCTGTTCAGGCGAGAAACAGCAGAGAACTGAGCAGAACATAGGGTTTATATTGGGTTTCTTGCAGGGAGGGGGAGTTTCCAGGTGGCATGGGATTGGAGGAATTATGTGGCCTGATCTTGGCAAGCTCAAGCTCAGGGATTGGGTGAGGGTTTTTTTTTTTTTTTTTGGGTGGGGCCCAGCTACTCTTCTACTATAGCATTGGGAATGAATGGCCCTTAAAGCCATTAGGGTCATTAAGGAAAGAAACTTATGGCCTGAATGGAAACTTGCCTTGAGAATTTACAGAGTTTACTCAGGGAGTATCTGCCCATTGCAGGGACAGGCTTCCCTGCCACTTGAGTTGATGTGAATAGCCAATAGGTAATGCTTGGCTGTTGGTATTATTTAATATTTTAACTTTGACAGTTTTATGCATATGTGCAATGTGTTGGGATCGTATTCACTCTTGCTCCTCTCTCTTACCCTCTCATTCCTGAAAACCCCTGTCTTTCCAGCTAGTATCCTCCTACGTTTATGGACCCACAGCATTTGCATATGGAGGCCAGAGTCCAACCTCTATGGTGTTTATTATTAGAGTCATGGTATCTCACTGAACCTGGGTTACAAGCATATATCATGGTGCCAGGTTTTTTTGACACAGCTGCTGGGGATGCCAGATCCTCCCTCGTGCATGCATGGCAGGCACTTTTCCAGCTGCACCATTGCCCCAGCCCTTGGGCTTGCTTTTAGAAAGCACAGCACTCTGAGATGCATTTCTGAGCCAGGAGTTTTGGAGCACTTTCCCCAAACGCAGAAGCAGAACCTGTGGTCTACAGATTGCAGCAGAAGTTCCATTTCTTACACGGCAGCCTGAGTGCTCTGAAGCAGAGCTGGTGTAAGCTTTTTCAGCATGCACATGTGATCACCCTTGCTGACTTGCAGTGAGATGACAAGTAGTGGCAGCCGCTTTCCGCGCTCTCCAACGCGTCCTCTCACATTGCGGGTGGTCAGGGCTGAGCTCAGTAGTGGGCACACATCAGCTGCCCTGTTGCTGCTTATGGCGTCCTGCGGTTCTCTCCTTTTAGCTACAATTATCAAGGAGCACCAGCCAGTGCCAGCACCATGAAGACAGCCTTACACTCAAAACTAGGGCCAATAGTTTGTTAGTTCAAAGCTAACCTGAGCTTTATAGCGAGACACTGTTCCTAGCATCCAGTCTTTTCCACTGATTTTGGCATTGCAAATTACACACATGTAGGTACGTAATGAATACTTACGTGATGCTCCATAAGTGTGTGTGTTGATGTGTTTGTTTTTGTAAAAGGCAGTACTTTCCAAAGCTGCATAGCAGCTTTCTGCCCAAGCTCTGATCCTCCTTCTGAGAGGTCGGGACTCCTGCTCTAGCCCTACTCTCCACCTCTTCACTGCCTGGCCCTGGTGCCTGCAGGCTCATGGAACCTGAAGGAAGGCTGCTTTGCCATCGGATTAACGATGGCCCCTGGCTTCTGGTATCAGGGATGGACACAGCAATGTCTGAATTCCTGAGTTATAGGAGGGAACTGAGAACACATTTTCATAGCGTAAGCATAAAGTGTCTTTTAGTCCTTGTCAACACTGACTTAGACAGCTGTGAGCTCACTAGAGGGAAGAGACTGGGAATCTTTTTAGCTCCCCGAGCTTTGCAGTTGGCAGTAGTCTTCAGGGCTCTCCTGGGACTTTCACCTTTGTCCTTATGTTCTTGTTATGGACACATTCCTCCAGGTTTTAAAAATAAACAACATAATATTAACTTTTAAAATATAGTGTCAACAACCTTTAAATTTACAGGTACAGATCAGAGTTTCCACTCTCCCCCTGTTTCTGTGAAGCTGGAATGTGGAGTAGAATTTGGGGTGTCTTCCTCACTTGTTAGGAAGCCTTTGGTGGCTCCTAGCCGGGACAGAGGTCTGTGAAAGCTTGTCCCTGCCTTTGCTTCAGCTCTTGTTCTGATGTCACCTTTGTGTTCATCCTGCACTGTTACAGCGGTAGTAGAAGTGCCACCGCTCTGTGGTTAAGGAGGTCCTGCCTCTGCAGGGAACCAGTGTCAAACAGTTTCATGTATGACTAGAAAGCAGGCGTTGACTCCCCATGCTTTTGATTTCCCCTCTGGCATGTTGCTCAAGTCCTGCACCAAGATGTGTATATGGCCTGGGAGCTGGGGCCATGCTCTGTGAGGAAATGCCCCGTGAGCTTGAGGATCTGAGCTCAGTGCCTAGACCCTGACTTACAGAGCTGGTTGTGGTGACATACACTTGAAATCCAGCCAAGGTGAGATACAAGGGGATTCCTCAGTCTTACTAGCCAGCCAGACTAGCTAATTTGGTAATCTCTAGTGCAGTGAGACGTTCTTAGGTCAAATATCGATAGATAGTTAAACCCTCAGCCAGGGTCTTCCCCTGGTGCTGTTGTCATTCTGTACCCACATAGAAGCAAAGCCCCAAAGGTGGATGCACACACACACACACACACACACACACACACACACGCACGCACACATACACACACACGCACCAGGGTTCCACAGTGATACATACTGACTGTGTGTGTATGCAGGAATTATTTTAGGAAACTGGCTCATGTGGTTGTGGAAGTTCTTCAGCTCCATCATCTGTAATGTGTCCTGCAGACTAGACACCTGGGAAGAGTTGATGTCACAGCTGACCTCGAATCCTCCGATACATCTTTTTCATGGACCTTCTCTTTTCTTCCACCTTAAGGCCTTCGACTGAGTGAAATCCAGTTATACTATACAGGCTGACAAAGACATTCACAGTTGACATTTAGATTAGTATTTGATCAATATCTGCATTCCAGGTTCCAGTCATATTGTCAGTCACCATTGAGACATAAAAATAACCATCATTGCCACTGTCCAGAAAGTAGGAATCAAGATTTCTGCCTGTAGCTGCTGGTGGTGGTGCACACCTTTAATCCCAGCACTTGGGAGACAGAGTCAGGTGGATCTCTGTAAGTTTGAGGCCATCCTGGTTTACAGAACAAGTCTCAGGACAGCCAGTGCTACACAGAGAAACCCTGTCTTGAGAAACAAACAAACAAAACAAAACAAAGATTCCTGCTCTCACCTACTAGGTCCAGCACTTACTCTTTTCCTCCAAGTTTGATCGGCTTCTAGATCATGAGATGTATGGGTCCCCAGCCTGGATGTTGTGTGCTGAGCTCGCTGAAGTGCTGGTCTGGGCGTTCAGTCTCTGCTGGTAGGCTGCTCTGCTGTTTCACCTTACTACTCAACTTTGTTCTGAGAAAAAGACATGAAAGGGGGAGGGCATCCTCTTTCTGGATAGCCTGAACTAGTTGTGTGCTGTCTGCTAGTGGGAAACAGGGTAGGAGACCTCCTGGAGCAGACATCAGACCCTTCAGCTCAACACTTTTTAGCATGATGTTTGAGCAGACATGCTTGCTATGGGTGGTGGTGAGTGTAGCATAGTCATGCCCTTTCCTCCTCCTGAGAATCCTTCTCTTCCCTTGGTAAAGAGATACCACTGGGGAGGGAACCTGGAGAAATCATGATCCTTGAGAAAGGCAAGGCAGCCTGAGGGCTGTGGCTTGAATCTCTGCACTGGTTGCATTTAATGGCTGTGTTCTTGCTGGAAGTTATTTCAAAGTTTCTGATGCTAATTTGGGGGCTGAGGATAATAACAGTGACTTTGTGGACTTGCGTGCATGGAACAAGTGATGGGACATGTCAAATAGCAGACAATTTTCATTATAAATAGGGTTGGTGATGTTTTGAAGATCCAAGTTGAGGGTCAAGACAAATTAGCAGACACCTGTCTATTAGTTTGTAAAAGGTGAGCGATTATGGTGATAATTGTATAGTGAACCTCTCTGAAAGCTTTGCAGCCATTATCCTGATAAAATAGTATCTGGGTGAGGAAATAGCTTTCTGTCTTGTAAATAAAACCCAGGAAAGGGGTTCTAGTGCCTGCCCGAAGTGTTGAAGTCCTAGCAGCTGCCATGGATCAGAGAATATACACAGACAGACAGACAGACAGACAGACAGACAGACACACACACACACAGACAGAGAGAGAGACAGACACACACACAGACAGACAGACAGAGAGACAGAGAGAAAGGGGTGATATTATATTGTAATCACCCATGCTGATTGTGAATCTGGGTTCAACTGATCCTTTTGCCTTAGTCTCCAAGTGGCACATCTACTTAAAGGGTTGATATATGTGTGCACCCTGCTTTATTGTTAAACCTTTTGTTATTGCTTTGTGTATAGGTGTGGGGTGTGTGCCTTGACATGTGTGGAGGTCAGAGCACAGTTTTGTAGAGTCAGTTATTCCCTTTCATCTTCATGTGGGTTCCAAGGATGGAGCTCCAGTTGCCAGGCTTGCTCAGCAAGTGTCCTTACCTG